CGGCAATTGATGATAGTCTCGCAGTCACTGTCAAACTGAGGCTAGCTTTCAATCCCAGATTTGATTGAATTTTTAAATTCCACCAACTGCCATGATGGGGTTTGAAAGCTGGGTCTTCAGCCTGGGCCTAGTCCAGAGATGTCACTGCTCGGCCTCCAGCTGTCCTATCCCCTTCACCTGGCTGTAGCACAGAAAGTCAGGTGATCATTGTTGACGAGGGACGCCAACAGGGAACTACCCGGAAATAAAGGTCCCCTTTTCTGCCCTGGAAGATTCTAGAACTTTATGGTCTCGGTCAACGGCTTTTGAGCCCGCAGCCTTGTTGGATTGAGCATCCTGGCCGTGGTTCCACGTTTTTAATAACAGGTAAATTACACCGACAGTGAAAACTGACCATCGACTGGACCACCCGAAGCCTTTGTTTGCAAAGGAGACTGAAGAGCTGCTGAACCCTCGGCTCAGTATTTCGGCAAGATTCCTGTCTCAGTCGCTGGCATCCAGCTTCAGGTCAGTACAGGGGCATCAGCTCGTGTGCTTCTCGAATAGTACGTACGTAAATTATTAGTCAAATCAAGTAGCGAATGGCATTCAGTTAAAGAAGCTTCTGTCTCTTTAAGAAAGGGTAAATATACCTGTACTATTGTCTGTGCCTGCATTGCAGGGAGTATGTTGCAGGACAGTGTTGCCAGTGATATAGGGAGAGTGTGTGCCTGTGGTGCAGGGTGTGTGTGTGTGGCATTGGTACAGGGCGTGTGTGCGCACCTATGGTACAGGGCGTGTGTGCGCCTGTGGTACAGGGCGTGTGTGCGCCTGTGGTACAGGGTGTGTGTCCGCCTGTGGTACAGGACGTGTGTGCGCGCCTATGGTACAGGGTGTGTGTGTGTGTGTGTGACTGTGCCTGTCTGTGGCACAGGGTGTGTGTCTGTGGTACAGGATGTGTGTGTGTACCTGTGGTACAGGGCGTATGCGCCTGTTCTATGAAGAGTGTGTGCCTGTGTTGTAGTGTTGATGCCAGTGTTATGAGGAGGAATGTGCTTATGACACAAGGAATGTGATTGGAAACAATCCTCATCAAGTGAGAATATTGCTGGAGAGTGGACCAGCGATCAGGAGAGAACTAGGATGCGAGAGAGTATAGGTTTGGGGAGGAGATTATGGCTTGTTTGAGGGTCAATGTGAAACACTCCAAGCTGTTCCGGCCCACAGGCAATGCTGAATGGCCTCCTTCTGTGCAACTCTGACTCTACAAGCAGTTGACATGGAAACAGAGGGACTGATGATGAGATGAATCAGGCATCAGTTAAAACCTTGTCTGCAGCTCTGAAGTGAAAATACTAGAGTACGATCTTACCCACAATCACTAATCCAGGCCAAAGTTACTCCCAAGATTCCATTTGTTTCCAAAAGTATTTTCCTGAAAGCTTCCACTCAAATGCATTTCTCTCACTCTTCCACACTCTCTCCCTGTGCTCACCAGGATCTCCCTCTCTCACACTATCTCTTTTTCTCTCCCATATCCCTCAATCTGTCACTCTCTCACATTATCTCTGTCTTACTGTGTCTCTGTCTCATTCTCTCTCTCTCTCTCTTGCATTTTCTCTCCATGTCTCGCATTCTTTCTCCCTGCCTTCCTGTCTGATGTTTTCTGTCTTTCACTCTCTCCTCTGTGTCTGTGAATAATGTTATCTTCAGGTCAGGAACCCACATTATCGTTTCATAGGAACAGGAGCAGGCCATTCAGCCCCTTGAGTCTGTTCCACCATTCAATGAGATGATGGCCGAACTGGGCTCTAACTCCCTATACCTGCCTTTGGCCCATGTCCCTTAATACCTTTGCTAAACAAAAATTGATCTCAAATTTAAAATCAGTAACTGATCCTGCATCCACTGCCATTTGTGGAAGAGAGTTGCAAACACCTACCACCCTTTGTGTGTGGAGGACCTTCCTGACATCTCTCCTGCATGGTCTGGCCCTAATTCTCAGACTATACTGTTCTAGCATTCCCAACCAGTGGAAATAGTTTACCCTTATTTAGCCCACCTTTTCCTCTTAATATGTTGAAGACTTCAATCAGATCACAATCCATGTTGGTAGTTTATATCTGAAAGAAAATGGTCATAGGGTAAGAGACTGCTTGGGTGGTGTCAGAGTCCCTGGTGACCATTCCCATCCCTGGCTTGAACAGGGGCAGAAACAGGATTCCGGTTTAAGATTCCGGTTTGATCACCTCGTTACTTCCTTGTGCTGAAAGTATTCGGCAAAGATCACCCCATTATCGGAGTAGAAGGTCTCCAAAAAACAATTCGCCAAAAATGGGCTTCCTTCTTATCGAGCAGAATCCCCAATATCCTACTTGGTAACAAAGAAGTGAAAAGTGGGAGCAGGCCATTCAGCCCTTCAAGTTTATTCTGCCGTTCAGTACGATCATGGCTGATTCTCAGTCTCACATTCCCATCTTTTCTGTATTTCCCCTTGAGGTCTTTAATGTCTAAAAATGTCTTCCCCCGACCATATTGAATGACCTGGCCTCCACAACCTCCTGTAGTAGAGGGTTCCACACTTTCACTCCTCTGTGAAATGTATCCTCATCTCCGACCTGAGCAGCACACTCCATATCCAGAGACTGTGGCCCCCGATTCTACACTCCCCAGCCAGGGAAATTGCCCTCCCTGCATTTAGGTTGTTAAGCCTTGTTAGAATTTTATACATTTCAATCAGATCCCCCGTTATCCTTCTAAACTTCGGTGAACACAGGCCCAGTCAAATCAATCTCTCCTCCTCGGACATGCTCCGGTATCAGCCTAGTGAACATCCACTGTGCTGCCTCTATGGCAATTATATCCTTTCTTAGGCAGAGAGACCAAAACTGCACACAATACTCCAGGCATGGTCTCACCGAGGCTCTATAACTAAAGTAAAATGTCCCTACTTCTGAACTCAAAACCTCTTACAATGAGGGTCAATATTGCCATTTACACTCCTGATTGCTTGTCACGCCTGCCTGGTTACTTCCATTGACTGCTGTACCCAGATCCTTTTGCACACCCACACTTCCCAATCTATCATCATTTGAAAGGACGTCTCTGTTTTTCACATGAAGTGTACACCCACATGAGACTGCAACTGTGATGTGTTTGTCCACAAACCCAACCTGCCCAGGCCATCCTGAAGCCTCCCCTTGCATTGCCTTCACAACTCGCCATCCTTCTCAGTTTTGTGTTATCATTGGAAATGTCGCATTTGGTTCCCTCATCCAAGTCACTTGTATTTGTTGGGAGTAGCTGGAGCCCAAACAGTGATTCCTGTGGTCCACTACCAGTCACCTGGAAAGAGACCCTTTTTTTAAAAATTCATTTATGGGATGAGGGCGTCGCTGTCTAGGCAGCATTTATTGCCCATCCCTAAGCACCCAGAGGGCAATTAAGAGTCAACCACATTGCTGTGGCTCTGGAGTCACGCATAGGCCAGACCAGGTAAAGATGGCAGTTTCCTTCCCTAAAGGACATTAGTGAACCAGGTGGGGTTTTCCGACCATTGACAATTGATTCATGATTATCGTCAGACTCCTAATTCCAGATATTTATTGAATTTGATTTCCACCATCTGCTGTGGCGGGATTCGAGCCTGGTTCCCCAGGACATTACCTGGGTCTCTGGATTAACAGTCCAGCGATAATGCCGCTAGCCCATTGCCTTCCGCCAATTCCCATTGCCTCCCCTGTATTGCCACTGTCTGTTTCCGGTCTGTCAACCAGTTGTCAATGCATGCCAATATATTATCCCCAATCCTACGTCCTTTAATTGTGTCCATTGTCCCTTATTATTAAATATAAAATACCTTCCTGAACTCCATCCACTTGTTCTCCTTTATCTATTCTACTAGCCACGTCCTCAAACAACTCCAGTAGATTAGTTAAGGATGATTTCCTAAACATGAACTCATGCTGACTTTGTCTATTCCCGTCAAATGCTTTCCAAATGCTCTGTTATCACATCTTTTATTATAGATTTTCCCCACTACTGATGCTAGGCTAGCTGGTCTGTCGTTCTGTTCTTTCATCTCCATCCCTTTTTAAATAGCGGGGTTACATTTGCCACCCTCCAAATCTGTAGGAGCTACTCCAGCATCTTTAGAATTTGGGAAGATGACCATCAACAAATCCAATATTTCCAGGGCCACTTCCTTTGGTACTCTGGGATGTAGATTATCAGTACCCCTGTCACTGTCAGCCTTTGATCCCATTAATTTCCCCAGCACCAATTTGTCTTTAACGAAAACCGATATTGGTCCTCAAACTGTTGACTGTTTCGTGTTTGCAGAAACTCTCCAGATCTTAGTTCCAAGTCCCTCCAGCAGAGTGAGGCCAGATCCAAACAATTAACATTCCCTGGCTCAAACCGAGGACTAGGAGGAGGAGAGGCCTTCAAACTGAAGACTGACGATGGGCGAGAATTTCAGAAGCAAGAGGACTTGAAAAACGACCGGAATGGCGATCAGAAACCACTAGATGATGTGAGGCCTGTTACATTTCCAATTTTCCCAATTTTTTTTTGCCTGTACATACTATAATTTCCCATATGTACATCAGTTCTGCTCTGGAAACAAAGACTGGGAGAAGGTGCAGAGGAGTTTAATTAAATATTTTCAGTACTGAAGGTCTTTAGTTATTGAGAGAAACTGAAGGAACAGGGATTGTTGTGCTTCGAGAAGAGACGGTCGAAAGCAGATTTGAGCGGGGTGTGAAAAAGTCTGAAGGAGTAATTGGACTAACTGTTTCGTGCAACACAGATTTATGGCCATTGCCAAAAAAAACGTAAGGAATATTTAAATTGAACACAGCAAGTTTTGATTTGTATTGCGTTTCCTGAAAGTGTGGCGGAAGCAGATTCAACAATAGTAACTTGCAAAAGGAAATCGGATAACGTCTTGAAGAGGAGAATTTAGTGGCGCATGGGGAAAGAGCAGGGGAGTGAGATAAATCCTTCAAAGAGCCAGCAAGGAGAGAAATGACCTCCTTCTGGTCTCTGAGCCTTTGAATCAAAGTATGTCTCTGTTCTCAACTATATTGGATTAATCTCAGATGTGGGGAATGGTTCACAGAAGAAAGCGTGTATGAGTTCAGACAGAGAGATGTATAGCATAGAAACAGACCCTTCAGTCCAACTCATCCATACCAACCAGGTATCCCAAATTAATCTTGTCCCATTTGCCAGCATTTGGCCCATATCTGTCTAAACCCTTCCTGTTCATGTACCCATCCAGATGCCTTTTAAATGTTGTAATTGTACCAGCCTCCACCACTTCCTCTGGCAGCTCGTTCCATACACACACCACCCTCTGCGTGAAGAAGTTGCCCCCTCAGGTCCTTTTTAAATCTTTACCCTCTCACCTGAAACCTGTGCCCTCCAGTTTTGGACTTCCCTTACCCTGGGGAAAAAGACCTCGGCTATTCACCCTATCCATGCCCCTCGTGATTTTATAAACCTCTCTCAGGTCACCCCTCAGCCTCCGACACTCCAGGGAAAACAGCCCCAGCCTATTCAGCCTCTTCCTGTAGCTCAAACCCTCCAACCCCCCTCACCCTTTTCCACACCCTTTCAAGTTTAACAACGTCTTTCCGATTAGCAGGGAGACCAGAACTGAAAGCAGCGTTCCAAAAGGTGATGAAAATAATGCATTTACAGATCAGTGCCTCCAGGCAGAAATATCTAGTGCAGTCTTGCACCTTCTAGCAGTGAGTTATAGACTACCCATGGTGTGGAGCAAAGGATGGGGTTGTTGGTGGGTCAATCCAGTGTAGCTACTGTCAACAAAATCAGCTTCACTGGAGGTGCTGGCACTGTTAGTCCAGTAATGCTGGCTCCAAGCTACTGCCATGGAGATAGTGATGATGCACTTCTTCAGAATATAGATGTTGAGCCACTTCTTTTGGCGATATTAGCAGCGAGTAATTCTAAGCATCACACTGGAGCTGGATCTCATCTCTGACACCTTACCGACTAGCCTCTCCTGTTGGAGATACGAAAATGGATCGGCCTAATGGGCGGTCTTCAAGTAGGTTCAAATAACGGGGCAGCGCATCAGGAAGTTCCCTTTTATATAAAGGCAATTCCCTAACGATTTAATTTATCCCATCCTGTTTCTTTGCAGCTTGCAGCAAACTTCATTTCAGCGTCGAATTCCGTCCCAGGGAGAATCCCGGTGAAAGTCCCATTTCGAGCCGAGTCCAGCGCTGTTCCTGACAGGTCAATGTCCATCCGAGCGATGTGCAGCCAGAGGAAACGGAACCCGGCTGTAGAATCCCGGAAAGTGTTCACCGGATCAGTGAAGGCACAGTCGGCATCAGCTCATCCAAGTCCAGCTGTATCACCAAGTCCGACCATGAGAAAATCCCAATCTGTTCACGACCTCATTCACGAAGGTAAGGATCAGGGAAGCAGCCGGATACCTCTACATCAAGGGAATGCTGACTGGACTGGAGAAAAATAAATAACTGGCATTTATACAGTACCTTTCATAACCCCAACCACATTTTGAGATTTTTGTTTTCTTGATTTGAGCCCTCCAAAGTCAGAATATCTGGGGAAAAATAACTGTTTGATGTCAACTGTGTGAAAAGAAAAATCAAGCTCGAACCAAGGTGTTGAAAGGGGCGAAAAAGCTAATTGCAATTTCTGTCCTCAATATAGTAGCTAATGAGGAGGAATCTAATCCTAAATGTTCAGGGGCATGGCATTGAAGATATACTGTCATGAGGTGACCAAGGTTTGGAGTAATAGAAACAGAAAGTGCCAGAGAAACTGAGTATATGTTGCAGTATCAGCGGAGTGGGAAACTGAGTCCATGTTCTAACTTCAATATCACTGCTTCAGAGCCAGAAAAAAAGAGCCATATTGAACTGAAAATGTTAACCCTGTTTCTCCTCCTACCAATGGTGCTCGGTCTCTTGTGTTTCTCCACTGTATACTGTCTTTATTTAACCTCTCCAGCACCAGTAGTATTTTGCCTGTTTTTTTCAGAGTCATCGATAACCTGCTGATACTTGAGTTAGCGTAACTCCCAGATGGGATGTTGCCTGCATGTTTTGGCAACTCGCAGACCATGAGCCACTTGAACAGCGCCTATGGGAGGGGACGCATCTCATGTAGCTAAAAGCATGAAAGATTGAAGTATGTCAGTGGAGGAAAAGAACAAAGGATGTCTCAATATTGAGGGTCCCACACCGATGAGGATGCCTCGATATTGAGGGTCCCACACCGATGAGGATCTCTCAATAT